TGGGAGGCATTTTGGATGTTTTAGGATTTGGTTGACACCGTTTTTCCGACTGGAAGTTCTTGAGGATTTGGGGGCGAGGGCCGGGTTTGAAGGGCTTGGGGATGTGTACGACTTCGACACTCGCAAAACGCAGCCTGGTAGCGTTAGCAGCTTGGGGCTTTAGTCGGCTTTACTACTATTTGCTTAAGAGCCCCCAAAAAATAAAAAAAAATATTCCTTATGGGGGTAATATAGGGATTATTATTTTTATTTTTTGGGGGTTTCTTAAGCAAATAGTAGTTTAGTCGGCTTAAGACTGAAGCAGGTGTCGACAAGTCGGGCCCAGCAGACGAGAGTGCTGGAGATACTTTGCACGAGCGACACCCACAGCCAGCAAGCCTAGCAAGCGCAGCCAAGAAATAAAACAAAAAACATCTCACATCATGAACCCATGCTACACCCAACTAGCTGATGTCATCCTATTTTCCACTAATTACACTGCACCTTGCTGTCTTGCACATGTCACTGAACCTGAAACCTCGAAGATCACAAAGCAGGGGGCGCGCCTTTTCCAACATCTGCAATCGCTTTTGCAATTCCACCTGCGCGTGAGGCCAGAAAGGAACGTTAAACCCGGCCCTTTTGCAACAGGCTTTCCACTTCGTCCGGAGTTGGAGCAAGCAGCCAAACCCTGAACCCTGAACGCCTAAACCCTTCAACCCTGAACCCGACACCCTTTAGAAGTGAGGCTATGGCAGAGGATGCAACCATGCAATCATGATGAAGTTGAGGCTCTTACGCTTAAGTTCCAAACCATAAACACATGACCCCTAAGACCCTGCACCCCTCAACACTCGAAACGTAAACCCTGGACCTGGCCGGTCGCTTCCACTATCACTCTGCTTTGTTTCAGTACTCCTACAGGTCCTATGGTCTTAGCCACCAGAGCCTATGAGAGCGGAGAACTTGACAGGGTGCGTTTAAGGCTTTACTTCTGACAGACTCACGCACGGCACGACCAGAAGATAGCGTATGATTGCCTGCACGTCAATTGCCGCAATCAGCAAGGAAGGGGGTCCGGACACAAGCTGTTTCTCATCTCAGTATCATTCTTTAAAGTTGGGCACCTCCTCCGCCGCCAGATCTTTCTGCTGCTTCTGGCTCTGTTGGATATGCTCCTCTTCCAGGGACATGGCCAAAGAAGAAAACCACGACGACAATACCGCCCCTGCTATCAGCAACTTCAACAATACCAACATCACCACCACCACCACCACCACCGCCGGCGCCACCACCACCACCACAACCACCACCACCACCACCACCACCACGACAACGACCACAACAAACAACCACGAACCGCTGCAAAAAAAACGATCAGCTGCAGCAAGAAGAAGAAGAAGAGGAACGAGAACCACAACCCCAACCACGACGACGACCCAAAAAATGATCATTCCAGACGCAGACGATCACGAGACGAGAACGAGGACGAGGACGAGCGCAAGAGGCCAACACGAACAGAAGACGGCGAGAAGTCTACACAAAGACACCAGAAGACACTGGTAGTGACACCGCTGGTAGTGACGTTGCTGCCACTTCTTAGTCTTTCGACCAATATGAAGAGCAATCCAAGTGTAAACGTGTAAGCAGAACGCAGTCGCCACCGATTTGGCCACTGGCAGCACGACTATCACTTCATGCACACACTTGCCCTCCAACCTCCGCAGTCTTTGTGACACTGGCCATGCGCTCCTGTGCACAGGAGCTAGAAGGCCAAGAAGCTCTAAAGAAACAGGTTCCACACTCAGGCACAAAAAGCTGAACCTTTGAGGACTCTTCTCCTCCATCTTCGAGCACCGAATGCGCCGTCGAGACGACTCCAAAGCCTGCGGGCTCAGAGTGGATCTCTCCCTCCAATCTTGGTCACCTGGGACCAACCCTCTTCAAGCCATCTGAAAGGATACCCTGCAGGCTGATACCCACAAACTTGCACACCTCGATTTCAATCTGGGTCCATCTCTCCTCTTCGAATACCCAGGCACCTTGAAACTACCAGGGGTGCCTGTGTCGAGCCACAGGAGCCCTGTTCTCTGAGACTGGGGCCGAGGGCTCTGAGCTTAGGGTTGGACCCAAAAATTCTCTGGGCTGGCCTTTAAACACCCTGAAAAATATTTACATATAGGGTCCCTTATAAACCCAAATAAGGAAAATAGAAAATGTCCCAAAATCCAACCTAGTTCTATATAACATCTAAACGGAATGCCGATCTTCCGATCTTCTATGAGCCATGCATTCATACATCCATCTAGCCAACATGTCATAATGTCCAAAGACCTTCTCTGGATACTTCAGGCCGAATGTTAGATGCGCATACTGCTCCAGGAAGCAGCCTGGGACCTAGGAAGAGCATTCGCCTTCTGACGCACCCAGAACTCGAGATTACGCCCCGCAGCATCCATGATCTCCTGGGCTTGTTGGACGTGCGTTGCAGGATCGAGTTTGCGCCGTCGCAACTGGGACTCCGCCAGACGAGGTCTTTCGGTTCAAAGTGCATGGGCCAGTCAAACTGGTTTAGTGTTGTAAATGGTTTCAGGATGCATGCCACTTAAAGAAGTGTTCCAGCACACATGTAGATGGAAGTTGTCTGGCTGATTCCACACACAATCACGGCGCAGACGTTTCCCATCAACACAAACCTGTTCATAAACCCTCTTCCTCTCTTTACGGGCAGCGAACGTTGAGGGCTTTGGGTTAGGCATCAAAAGCGCCGGAGAAGCAAAAATCGACATGCACAGAGGGCTTTTATAGAACCCTCTATGCAAGACTGTGCGACTGCATGGGATCCGATCCGAGACTCGGATGGGGCCAAGCCAGGAAGTAGGCGCTTCTTGGTCTCTGCGCGGCTGTCCCTAGGGTCTAGGAAAGAGTTCAGTTCAGGGTTTAGAAGTTTGGGGTTTAGAGGTTTAGGTTAGAGGTTCATGGTTACGAGGTACAGACTCGGCTGTCCCGAGGGCCTAGGGTCTAGAAAGGTTGAGAGTATTTTTAGCACTCGCTCTCGGCAATGCAGGCGAGGTTTGGGGTGAACCTAGATTGGGAGGCAAAGCACGAGAGTTTACGAGGTTCAGACTCATAGATGGGCTGAAATGCAGACTTCCAAGCCAGGGGTCGTTCAGACAACTCGTTCCGATGCCTGCTCTTTCCAAGATCCCAAAATCCGTGCACCACCACCCAGAGATCCCAATATCCCTTAATTAGGGAATCTACCTTAAACTAAAGGGTTCTTAATACTATGGTTTAAGGTATATTCCTTAATTACGGGGTATTGGGATCTCTGGGCAGAAACCCAGAATAGAAGTCTGCCCGAGTCGAACGGCTCAAATCAGTAGAGCAGGGATGTTCTAAAGTACACGCACATAGGGACGATAGGAAAATGTTGTATAATATTTTATGACATTATAAAGCACTATATAGCATTATATAGCATTATGCAATATTATAGAATATTATAACAAAATAGTATAAGAATAAAACTATGTAATAGTAGCCTAGATCATAATATGTGCTTTTAACTCTCTGTTCTAGCCTCCCCAAGCTGGCGCGAATCACTTTCGCCCCGTGGAAGCCACAGACGGGGCACCTGCCGGAGCATGTACGGAGGTCCAGAGAGCCCAATACCCTTAATTAAGGAATATGGCTTAAATTATAAGAGGCTTCAAATTATAATTTAAGCTATATTCCTTAATGAAGGGGTATTGGGCTTTCTGGGGGTGTTTGAGGGTACTATAAGGGGCCTTTATCATTAGAACAGTAGGGTTCCTTTAAAGGGTTCTTAGAAGGCTTACTATAAGGGTTACTAATTAGAATAGGGTTTTGGGAATTCTGTTATGTAATTATCGTATAATGCACCCCGAAACCCTATTCTAATTGCTAAGGCCTCTGTGTTGCAACCGCGCTTCACTGGCGTAGCGTCTAAGGTTCAGACATTTTGCTGAATCTGCTTCGGCTGAGGAGAGCACACATCGGAGCTCGCAAAGCTGGCTTTTGCGTGTGTGTCGCAGAGAACATGTTGGCAGGAGGTGATCCAGCATGCCTGGGCACAACACTCGGACAGAACCACTGGCGAGCTTAATTAAGTGAAGTTCGCCTGGACGCCCCCTAGTACTACTACGACGACGACTGCTTGTTCTCCTGCCTCTACTGCTACTGCTACTGCTACGGCTCATACTGCTACGGCTATTACTGCTACCTACTACCGACTCCCAACTCCCCATTGCCGAATTTCTACCTACTAACCTGTTACCTTCTCCCTGCTACCTGCCAACTACTCACCAACTACCACCTACCCGCTACCGACTCCGACTACCTGTTACTAACTACCGGAGCTACTACATGCTACTACTACCGCGACTACTACGACTGCGACTAGGACTGGGGCGACGACTACTTATATCATCTGCTGACTACCTGGCTCACTGCTTGATACTACACTCTCTCGTCCATGGTGCAGCCACTGGCACAACGCTATCGGCCAAGTTGCTTCCATGGAGTTCGAACATCCCCGGCCATCTCCCGAATCCCAGTTGCAAGAGAGGGCTTGGAACCGCTCCAGGAGCAATGCATCCCCGACTTTGGCCATCGGCAGAGCGCCTGCCCCCCTGGAGCTCTGCACGCTTGGCTTGAGCCCAAGAGTAGTCGTCGTGGTAATGGTAGTAGTAGTAGTAGTAGTAGTAGTAGTAGTAGTAGTAGTAGGAGTAGTAGTAGTAGTAGTAGTAGTAGTGAGGAGCCAAGGCTTGCAGCTTCACACCCGCTACGCGAATCCACCGACACTCACCACCCTTCCAAAATCCTGAGAACAGGCCCTGACATGTTGAAGGAGAGGTTTTGGGACACAAAACTGAATCCTTCACTGTTCACAGGTGTCGGAAAATATTCGAGAACAGCCGGCTGATTCTCAACACTGGAAACTCAACTACTCCGGTGTGTGCGACAGAGCAATCATCAAAGAAATGTAAGGCTGCCACGGACGACCGGCCGAGGTCGTATAGTTGGGCAACCTGGATGTTCGGAAGGCTGAGGCATCAAGTCTGCAGTCTACAGTTGCAACTGATGGATGTGAATGCTCAGAACGCCGGAACGCGCGGACCGCAAGCTTCACCACCATGACGAGGATTTTCCGGGATCTCAACCTAAACCAAGAGCCCTAAACCCTAAACCGAAAGCTTTCTGGGCTGCCAACATGAGAGGAGGCCCAGCATTGAAATTGGGGCCCATCGGTGGTGAGCAGCTGGGCTGGAACCTGAGACGTGCAAAGAGCCGCAGGAAAGGATCGAAGTTGAATCCTAGAAGTCCATATCTCGGTTTAGGGTTTAATGGTTTATCGCGTTTAGGGTTTAGGATTAAGAGGTTTAGGGGTTGGGGGTTTGGGGGCTTAGGGAGATGCTTCCGGGCAACGGCATCGGAGGTGGAATCTGATGCGGCTGGTGGCTCGCCTCAGCAGTGCGGCGCGCAGAAGGATGTAGTTTAACAGTTTTTTGCACCCGGTGTCGGGTTCGAAACTTGTTCTGATCAGCACTACCGAAAATCAGAATCATAGCAATAGTAACGAAAGTATTGATCATCTTCTGAGCTTGAACCGTGCTGCGAATGAAGGGCCGCGCCAAAACCGAAACACTCCGCAACTCAACGGAAGCTTTGCATCTTGACGTGGGCGGGCAAAAACGTGTCCTTCAAGGCGCGTGGACGAAGAACCCACAAATGGGAGTTTCCGAAAATGAGGGGTACCTTATTTTGGGGTCCCTATTATAAGGATCCTACTATTCAGGGTACTATATTAGGGTCCCCTATTTTTGGAAACTCCCAAATCCCCAGACTGGGGCGTGGTGGCTTTAACACAGCTTTCGTATAGAGGGATTTACTGGGGGACAGTCAACACAAAGGGAAGCCAAGCTTGCAGTCGAGATCGAGAGGACACTTTTTCATTCGCCAAGACGGTTCTGAGGCACACGTGCAGACTGCTACCGGCAACAAATCATTCAAGCAGGCTGACTGCTTCTTATTTTCAACGACAATCAGGCACGACCAGATGTGCAGCCTGCTTGGATGATTCATTGAAGCAAACTGCGCCTTTGAGCACGCATGGAGGGGGCATATTGGATCCCAATAGGCACCCTCCATGCCTGCTCAAAGTTGACACTGATTTACGAAGCACACATCAATCAGGCACTGGCAGCGACAGCTGAGACATCGTCACACTAAGCTGACGAGATTGTGAAACAATGACTCTATCAAGATCGACATACCCTCAGTCATGTGCAGCCTGCTTGGATGATTCATTCAAGCAAACTGCACCTGACGAGAACTCAATTAATAAATGATGAAGCACAAATCAATCAGGCACCAGGCAAGGCCCGTACTGGCCGCCCGAAGTGGCAGCTCAGACATCGTCACACCAAGCAACCTGGATGAGCAGGAAGTCAATGAATCAATGCCCTTCTATTCTACACAGCGGGCCTTCTCAATGTGTGGCAAGTCAAGTCCAGAGTCCAGGAGCTCAGACCTGGCGACATAACATAGGCTCAAGGCCAAAACAAAGAACTCTCTAACCGAGGCTAGGCACTGACAGGCACACACACTTTCCACTGCTAGCTGCTGTTGAAGGCAGGTCGAGTTGTGCACTCTGTTAGCATCAGCAGTCCCGACTTGTGGGCAGTAGCGGTCAAATAAAGACTTAGTCATTATATGAGCAAGCACTGTTTCATTCCCACATAGACACACTGCTGCCGATAAACTGAATTAGGACAGCACGGCACCGCAGGCAAATTCAGGCTCCTCGAATCGACACAGGAGTGGAAATATGTACATACATATATATATATATACATATAAATTAAATACATATGTAACTAGCATAGAGTCACATGGCCCAGGCCCATGCTTACCTCAGTGCTCAGTAAGCACTGAGATAAATATGTTCACTGCCGCACTGCCGGCTGCTGACTGGGTTGCATTCTGATTCTGTGCAACCACTTTGTCACTTCCTACTCGTATACAAATTACTTGCGCAAACACGGTGAAAACACACTGTGTTTGTAAAAAGCCTCGGCCTCGGTCCGGCTCCGAAGTCATTCCGCCACTCAGTCACTAAGTCGCTGAGTCACTATCTCACGGTGACGATCTTCCTCAAGATTTTGAGCTCGAGCAACCTGCTTCTTTTCGCCAACTCGGTGTGCACCTCGTTGTTGAGAGACTCTTCGATCCAATACATGCGGAACTCTAGGTAGTCGCCCAGGCAGTCTTCCCTTGGATGACAGCTAGCTGGACTTTGGTCATTAATATTTATTACAGTCACAGGGCTTTGGGACGAATCGCAGTAAGCAAAAGAATTTCTGATTTAGTATATTGAGGTGCACACACTGGTCGTAGTACAATCTCAGCCACATCTGCAGGACATAGTTGGCTTGTCGCTCCGACAGCAATTTCGCAAGCTTTCGAAAGACCTTCTGGGAGTCCGGGTCCATTGGCATTGGCATGGCTTAGGCACTTTTGCCAGTCAGAGTTTTTCACAGACACAAAGTTTGTGTCGGCCAGTGACTAGGCTTTTGCGAGTGCGAGCCACAACGCCCACTTACAACGAACGGTCCTCCCAGATCCGAACTCTAAGTCACAAGTCAAGTGCACAGCTTTCTTGAACGCAAGAGACTGCAAGACACCAACACGGAATTGAAAGATGTCCAGGCCAAACTGTACTAAAGCCTCAAGCCCTTGTAAAGCCTCGCCTGCCGCACTACAAGCTCTCGGCGTAGGTCAGTTCTCAGACGAACTCTTCACAACAATTCCTTTATCAAAATTCCTGAAGTCGCTGTCGCAAGTAAGTAAGGGCAAATATTGGACTGCACAGATATTTTTGTTCACGTCACAGGACTCAGAATCAGAATGGCACGATTCCACGACTGAAGCTAGGCACGACGACTCCCGAGGAACTGAGGCAAACATTCGCCATTAGTATGCACATTGGCAAGAGATTCCACACCTAGCACGAAGCACATGCAGTGTACTAGACACCGGAACCTATTACCATGAACAACCACCTGGCAGCAAACACTCTGCTAGCAGCGCATGCAAAGCCACACAGTCACAGGCCTCCTTTCCTCCAGACTCAGTTTTCAGCACGTACAGGCACTAAGACCTTGCAGCAGGCAGATTCAGGATAACTCGAATCACACGTCACGTGTTACAGTTCAACCAGCGGCGGATTGATTATTCTTGGCTGCCGGCTAATCAAAATATTGAATGTGCATGATTTTCCAGACCCAGCATGCAGCAAATGCGCTGTACCGCACCTTTTGCTGTGTAAAGACAAGCTCACGGACCAGCCTCTTGCAAGATGTTGACACTCTGAGACCTGGGCCACTGGGGGCAAGCAGGCGCGGCATGAGCGACACACAGTTTATGAGACACGATGTCAGAATCTGGGAACGCACGCACATTTTGGTCGCACGGCCAACAACTACACATCAGAGTTAAACTCGTCCGCCATATTAGCACCACAGCGACTACTACGGAGCCGTGTGGTCCAGTCGATTCGTGTACAATGACAGCAACGGAACTCAGTGTGACCAGACATGGCCACTATTGCTACTACTGAGCCATGTGGTCCAGTCGATTCGTGTACAATGGCACAGCAACAGAAAGTCACTGTGACCAGACATGGACTGCTTGAACATGGCTTCACGGAAGCTGTAGCATCGCAAAGGGACACATGCACACACACACACACACGTGCACTTGCACAGACTGAACCAGGCACAAGTGATGTCCTATTTAAAATCAGACAAACTCTCAAAGGCCCTTTGAACGCGCTGTGAAACAAAATTGCTGCAGTCACTGAATCACTGCTGAAAGTTCCTCTCCTCGATGAGAACCCAGCCCTCAGGCACGCTTGTCGGCAATGCACTCGGTGAGCTCAGTGTGATGACACCAACGAAAGACACTTTGCGGATGCCGTCAGTGAAGTGGCCATGACAGTCACTGTCCTGCCGCAAACAAATCTCGTGTCTCCGCACGCCGACGTCAGAGCAACAAGCGAAGTCACGAAGCAAGATGTCACGGCCATCGGCAGCCAGGCACCACGTACCCTGCATACCGTAAGCCACGCGACCGGTACCTTGGATGCAAGTGAGCATAGTTGCAAGCAAACGCTGGAAGATCAGACAGGAAACACACCGAAACATCAGCAGTCAGCATGCTCTAACTTCTTACACTACACTCAAAAATCAAACTAAATCCCGGCGCAGCCACGAGTTCGGCGCTTGAAGCCCGTTCGCCAGTTATCGAACAGGAACAAGGTTTCTTGTCGAGCGCCATGACGCCATTCATACACGCCGGCACGAGTTGCTACCGCCATGTCTTCAGAACAGAACAGGCACTGAAACAGTCACAGCTTCGGTCAAATATCGGAGGTGTCCAAATCATGTGTGAGTCGATCAATCAATCAATGGACAGCACCTCACTCACAGTTGGAAGATTGCGAACGAATGCACACACAAACACAGCACATGCTGGGTCGGTGACCGGTCGACTCGCAGGCTTGGACTCCTTCCCACACCATGCCATGAGCCTCGGACACATCTTAATTAATGTAATGGGAACGACATGAACACAGGCAAAAAAAGTCTACTTCAGTCACTCAAAGGAAGGTTGCCGGTGTCAGCCTGCACAATTATCGCTCGCAGCTGCTGCTCCCTTTTCAAGGAAATCTGGGTATATGTCATCTATCAACGAGACAAGAAAGAGAAATATCTTGCAGCCTTCGCCGATTATATTATAATGGAATTCGCCCGACCTGACAGGCAGACTCTTGCCATGTCCCGTCCGTGGCACATTCAAGCATCATCATGATGCTGACTTTCACAAAGGAAACACTTCAACTTCAATGATAACACCCGGAAGTAGTAGTAGCTTAACTGGAAATGGATATGTGTCGTTTGATGCTGAGACTCTCGCCATTCCATGTGACAGCATCGCCGTGGTTGGCTCGTCTACAAGACACCTGTTCGGCCCCGACTCAGTGGCACACGCTCAGTCGTTGGGAACCCTGAGCTGAGGCACTCACCGATCGAGTTACCAGCACCAAGGTAAACCTGATCAGGATAAACTTTCGCTTGGACAAGTGATGCGTAAATACTGAAATCAGCATTGCAGTGACTTGATTCCCCGAAGCATTTCTTTCTTGCGAGGGCATCGGTCTCAACGGTGCACTGTGTGTCAGGGACATCTGAGAAGATTGGACTGGACTGGACTGCTGAGCATATTATACAATGATTCTTGAGGCACTGTACAATCACTTAGACACAACATTCCTCAGACCAGCAGTGCTTAGATTAGATCATCAGTCAGCCACAAGTCAATCCTCTTTGAAGACCCAATCCCTAGTGCAGCGGTCTCAACGGTGCGCTGCATGACAGCGACATCATCTGAGAAGATTGGACTG